TACACGGCGCATATATAGCAGTCACCTATAAGCGCACAGTTGTCTGGCAACAGAATTAACCAGCGACTACAATATCTTATTATTCTTATATTATATTATATGATTATACTCTATTGTTATATGACAGTTATATGATATGATAGCTATAGTGTAACGCTTAGTTCTTACTCGACTTAGCTTCTTGTGATCGTATCTGGTTCCGCGTATAAGATCGTTACTAAATGATTGCGTATAGGCAATTCCGTTATCTACAAATAACGGAAGACTGAGGTACGTATATAAACATACAAACGTCTTTAATAAAACATATAGTCTACTACCGTAGCATCAAACAGTACAGAAAGATACGTGACAGAAACATAACTTACATATCGAGAAGTGGTGTATGTAGCGGTTCCTCCTGAAATGGACAACGTTGTTTCCAGATCTGTGATTAGGTAGTTGTTCATGGCCTTCACGAGAGTGTTCCCAAACCCCATTGTCCAGAGATATTAGAGACCAGCACTACGCGCTTCAGAGCTTCGTAACCGGGTGAAGTTGTCTTCATCCACTGCAGACCTTCACTTGGCAAGTTTCCCTCGATATCTGCGTGCATGCACTTGCCATGGCCGCCGTCTCCACCGTCCATTCGTGGATGCCGCGAACGTGCTGGAGACAGCTCTACCAAAGACCCTGTAATGTTAACCATATCATATACCAAGCACACATTGTCATTTAACCTGTATAAATGTGGCCCACCGTACTCATGAGCAACAACTGCAAAACAGTGCAAGTCGTGGCATTTTTTACTGAATCAAACTTTTTCTGGGTGATATTAGATAAAACATGTACCTGCAGTTTGTGAATTGAGCCATCGGCTTCGCGGCAGCAAAACCAAAAGTGGTTCACTATGTGTTTGATCCACGGCCGCAGTTCTTCGCAGCCAGCCTTCTGAGCGGCCTGAAGTACAATTACATAGTTAGAACGTGAACAACTATAATGTATAGTAGAACCACATAAATTTGTTCTGTATTAAAGCTTTCCCATATATACGCACAATTTGATTATTGAAAACACGTGAAACACACGTGTAAAACATCAATTAGTATGTGCACTCCATTTAAAATCTTTAAAACAATATAATCTACCTTATTCAACCGCTTGCCCAAGTTTTTAGCACCGTGCCAAACGTCGTAGGAATGGGGTATGACCCGGGGGTGGTTCTTTCCTGTGTAATACGCAATAGAATGTCTGTTAGCAATATGGTGATGTCTGCACTATCACACTGTAAAAAAAAGCATCGTCGTTTAACCATTTCGTGAAAGCTCGCCATGCCGCAAAACCTTACTGCGAAGTGCTTCGCATTCTCCATGACCTTGTCATCACAACGGTTCTTTACTTACTCATGTAGGCGGTGATTTGTGGATGGGCGTCAGTGACCACCTCCGTCACATTGACGTTCTCATGTGCCAGCAACGCCATGACACGGATCAGGCACTCCTTCTCCATGTTTGGGGACTTCTTTCCCACGTGGCGCTTGTCGATGGTGATAATGGTCACCACTGAAAGGGTTTCGTGGTCCATAACGACGTAGGTGCAGAACATCGCCGAATGTCCTGGCGAGTCGTTGCGCGCATCACCTACATACAAACATGAGCGTACGTGAGGGTAATTGAATGGCATTATAACTACCAGCAAAGGTTCGAAGACGTGAAGAAGGAATGCAGTAGTGGTGCAATAGCACATGTAAATATTGATCAATATGGCATGCACCTATAACACATAAATGAAGATGTTCAAGTGCAACTGCACTAGCTTACCCAAAATTAGAAATCCTTATATGTGCGTATTTGGCGAGTGTCTCCTGCTGGCAATGATGAGCCATTCTCCTCGATGGCTGGCACGGGCGTAAAGCTTTGAAATATCATCGAAAGGTGGAGCACTCATCATGAAGCATTCATTGAACTTCATTGAGGAAGTGCATCCTTGCTGGTAGCTGCTGCCTGGATATGTGATGTCTGCTGGCAAGAAGAAGGTGCTACCTCACTTGTTGACAAAAATAGCTGGGAGGCCCACGACTCGTAGAGCTTGGCTTGTGGCCGATTTTTGCATGGCCTGTATACATAGTTGACACATGACAGAATTTGTTTCAACGTCTGCCAATTTTTATCATTTGTTATGCACTACAAACAAATATTGTTTGGCACATCAATTTTTGATTCTGTTCAGTAAGCATGTAGACGTATGATGCACTAACTTAAGAAGCAACTAGGTTAATTAATACAAACATCATTTAATTATTGTTTGTGCAATAGCTGAGTAAGCATATTTACCCAGTCTATGAAAAGGCATGTTCCATTCGATTTGGTAGAGACTACAATCTCTTCTGCGCAATCAGCATATTCGCAGAACTTGCTGGTAACACGCTGTGCTAGCTCAACGATGCATGCCTCATACGCCAAGCAGCACCGCATGCCTGCAGCTACTTTGGATCCGTCACCTACAAAATCACAGATGAAAATAACAATGAATAAAAATTAAGACTTTTCAGCAAGGCATAAGAAAAACAGATTTTTGTTTCCGCTGACTTTTTTTATCAAATATTTTTTATTTATTTTTGTATTCTAGCAATACTTGTTTTATCTTATAACATCCAATATAATGACTTCAAAGTCAAATCATGCATTCACCGATCGATATCACGTTGGGAATTAAAAAAAACAAACTTTTTGGCCGATCACAATAAAGTTTTCGACACGGGGTTTAAAATGGACTCGGTCGGGTTAGCGGAAACAAACGTCTTATTTTATAGGCCTAATATGCATGATTTCGCTGTATGCATGCTTTGGCTTGCATATTTAACATGTAGGCTATAATGTCATGAACAACAGACCGCAGCAAGACGTACATGTGTTTTCACGCTACATTGCTAAGGAAGCATGTTGAAATGCATGGAAGTGCTTACTGGTACATCAAACTGCTCCAGGTCAGTCTCGTCATCTGCAGCATCGCCTTCGACATCGTGCACCAGCTCATCCATCCCAACAGCCAATCCTGCTGGTATGCGCCGACCGTAATCCAGGCTGCAATGGGCAACCGTAAATGCTACTTTATTACAAATTTGATGGTTGCAAAGTCTGAGATGCAAACACTGCAGTGAATACTCATTGGCGAACAGCTGTAATTTGTGAAAATATAAAGTATGTAATTTGTGATGAGTTTCTTCATTGAAAGTTGATTATAATTACATAACTTACCATAGTTCGATGTCAGATCCCTCTGAGCCCTCTATTTCGTCTTCGGATGGCACCCACGTTGGATCATCATCATGCTCTTTAGCAACGACACTGAATATGACATGAAATTATACATAAATATTATTATTATTATATTTATTTATATTGCGCATTTTTACATAAAATGATCAAAGGCGCAGCACATCAACATCACAACCGACTGAACAATATAATATAACTACAATACTTGCAATTTACACACACACGGTTACAATGTAATCTTACAGCCGAAATTGTTAGTTGCAATCAGCAACACTCACTTGGTGACCAATGCTGTATGCAGTCAACATGTGTTCATTTACTATCCTTGTATCAAAGCAAAAGGCAATTTTAGTAACTCACAAGGACATGCTCAGGTCACATCCTGGCTCTGGCTCTCCACCAGCCTCTGCTTCCGATGCAGAACCATGCCTGAATGGTAGAGTTTCTGGCTCTGACTCAGTCAGAGCTGCTATGCCACTGATTGACGAGGCCACAGAACTGCAAAATAGTACACGATGTGATACACTGTGCGAACGTCATCGTGTATTACAATAAAAAAACAGNGTGCGCCGAATGCATAGGCCGGCGCACGGATCCATAGCTGCCAGCGAAGAGTCGAAACTTTTATGGCGAATACAATGAAGTGGCGGAGGTGCATTGAGGTATTATTGTAAGTTCATCAGCATTCGAAGTTCATTGGAAATATGAAGCAAAGAAGATTGTAAGTTCATTGGAAATATTCCGACAACTGTCTCTGTGTGGCCCGCTGTCTCTGTGTCGACACTGATGGTGTGTGTTGCAATGTACACGTATGCAGTCTTCTAACTTCAACCCCCAGGGCCTTTCTGCTAAGGTTGCCTGGTTAATTACTGATACGGCTAATTGCACAGAAGCCGCTAACCTTAAGGCTATGTTACAAGCAAGTTAGCATGCCTCAGAGAGTCAAAGGGTACATAAAGGAAGTGACGCTACCACAGCGTATACCACACGAATACCACAAGAATAGAAACATATATGAAATATATAAGCATATATGAGGGGGTCCATGCCCCCCCCCTTCGGCATCCGGAATACTCTGTAATTTCCAGTGGCATCTGGAATACTCCATAACTTTGGGCTGGCATCTGGAATACTATTTAACGTGCAGCCAGCACCAGAATAATACATAAGGAAACAGTAAGGAATAGTTGCTTGACCATTTCTAATTTGTAATGACATTGTTTTTCTAATTTATTACGTAAAATCCCTATAACCATTCATCACATCGTGTCTAAGCTGAAATGGAAAGAGCGCTAGTTCAATTGTAACGGGCATAGTTGCAACATCGGGCCAAAGATGACGTCGCAGAAAACTGAATGTAGAAGCAACCAATGTGCTGTATCACTAGTCAGGGCTGGATTCATGGTCGTTACTGGCTAAAACAGAGTGACACCCCACATAATCCCGATGTCCTCCCAGAAGAGGATGACCTGTGACAGATGCATGTACCCATTGAGTGCCTCGACGAATTGAAGGTGAAGGCGAAGAGAGAGCTGGTCATGTTGACCACATAACATGAATTTCCTGCCAGAATTCGAATCATTATGGATATTACTGACTTCAGTACACGGAAATGACTTCTGAGAGTTACGGCCCTTGTGTTAAAATTCGTGGGACGCTTCAGGAAGGGCCAAGTGACAGCAGATGTCACTGCGAGAGACATACAACAAGCAGAGGAGTGTTGGATGATGCATTATTTCCAACATGGAAAACTGAACTTGGCCTCTTTGAGGATGGAGGACTCTTGAGATGTAAGGAACGTCTGGAAAAGATGAGTGCTCGTCATTCCCACAAATATCCCATCCTCTTCAATACGAAGCATGCGTTTACGAAGCTGCTTATCGTAGCCTGTCATGAGAGGACGATGGACAGTGGGGTAAAATCAACCCTGACACAGTTGACATCCAAATAGTGGATAATGGGCGGCCGGCCCGCCCGGCGGAGGCGCCCCAGTTTCAATGAATCGTGTATGAGCTAACGCTGCCAGGTCAAGACAGCATCACTCACGGCATTTAACGTTTCGAAATAGGACACGTGAACGATGTAAGAGAAGTCGAGGTAGATGAAATGGAGCGACTATTGAAGATGAATATAGTAATGGTTTGGGACGTATTTGAGGTATATTTGTGGTTCGATAGTGACGGATGTTATTTTAGTTGCGGTGTATTGGTTGCGGTTGCTTTTGGCAGGAAGCAATTTCTATGTTGAAATGAATTCTAATTCATGACAAAAGTAACTGGACAATATTGGTTGTTGTTTTCAATGTGCAGTGCATTGAGCATTTCATGGTATTAAAGAATTGCTGCACTGATCATTGCTAGATTGAGCATTTCTGTTTGCAATCTATCCCGACATGTGACACCACCCTCCAGCCAATCCCCATGGAAACAAGGAAGACGACCTTGGAGCAGGTTTTAGTTGGAAAAGAAATGTAATTCCAATGAACAATTTCAATTTAATCGTGCAAGCGTGACTAATCCGAGCTTCATACACATTATGTAAAGCGATTATCATTTGAAGGAGCTTTTTGTGAGGTGATATAAAGAACAATTTAAATCGAAGGAAAGTCATTGAAATTGCACGAAGCGTCTTTTGTCCACACTGATTGAAGCAAATTGGAGTTTCATAAAGTAATTTCTTCGATCGTAACTATTGTTTTTATAACACGTCTAGATACGTGTATTTCACTTGACCGTATTGTATCAATAGTTTGGATAATTTATTGGTGAATTGACCATTCACATGAGTGGAAATGTGAGGTAATGATTTTATGTGAAGTGAAAAAGTACTTGCAATTACATTTCTTTAGCAAATATTACTTGGAGTTAATCTCTTTGTTCAACATGTCAGTTTGAAGTGATTATATTTGAAATGACTTTGTATAGCAATTGTACATTATCATCGTCATTATGCACTTATTACAATGAAAGTAAATATTAGTCGACTTCGTGCAGATGCAAGAATCTGTTCATTTTGATGATACATGTATAGAGTCGACTCGTTATAAAGAACACTGATATATGTATAAGAAACTGTCGTTGTAACAGTCTTTTTCCTGGTTGGTAGGCTCGTCAGTTAGTTATTGACATTTTGAGTAACCTTGATATAACAACATTGTAAGATATTAAAGTAATTTGACTGCTCGCAACGAGTTTGTTATAAGGAGTGCACTGAAGATGTAGTAATTTTTTGTAGTCGATATATATGCTTGCTTATTATAGCTGCTGTATATATATGCATTATATATGCATGGTATATAGCGATTTACTTATTAACATAGCAGTCCTTATAGATACGAGTTTCGTTCTTGCTGATTGCAAGGAATTGTGGAATTTTGCATGGTAAAACTTCGTGTACATTTCCCATATATTGTGTATGACTTCATACTTTCTTTGACAGCAATATTGTTTCGTGATAAATAAATTGCAATACTGAATATACATAGTATTTGTGTGTCTATTTGTAGCTGTCATGGGAGCAAGGCTTGATATTTGC